TTCACTAAAGTGGCTCGTGGCCGTTCCTCAGCCACTATCACACAAGTCCGGACACTAAAATAAAATGTATGGTTGGTAGAACATCTTGTGAGAGGAAATAAGCTTACCAGGCTAAATTCACTCCCTTATCCTTGAGATTGGAGACTTGTGATGCTAATTCTTGAATGCATATTCCAAGAACACCATACGTCGTAAATGTATCACGTGCTGAAAGCAAAACAAGGGGTGATTTCAGTAAAACCTCAAAAATAGAAAAAACCGCTACTTTTCAAGTTCGATACTGTCGTCAACCATAATGATGGATTCGCTTCCACTTCCGCTGGTGGAATAAGTATGGTATGGTGACCAGAATAAATGCTGCTGAGGCACCATAGGGCAAACCCTAATCCAGAGTATGGATCCAGACAAAGTGCTACATGACGCGAAGGATACAGTTCGCAGGTGACCTGAGATTTAAAAAAAATAACCCTAAATAGCTCATATACGATGATGTTCTAAAATCTCACCTTTAAACTCCTACACATGCTTAACGCTCCTCCTACGCTGACAATCACTCCAACCAGTTGTCCCGTAGTGCTTACGGAGAAATCCTATGCAATTAAAGTGATAAACGAAAAAGTTCTAGAAACCCTTATCCTTGCGATATTTACCAAATAGCAAGCATCGGAGATTAATGGTTCCGATGGTTCTGCATTAGCTTTTCGTTTCCAGGAGGCAGGAGAATCCTCGATGTCAAGAATCATAGGCCACGCTTTAGAATCTACCCGGTGAGCAGCTTCTTTGCTCTGTAAAAATCATCGTGTTTGCTAAAACATATGTGAGAAATTTTTTAGCAAAGCCCAGTTCTCACTTTGTAAAAATCTATAAAACTACAAAAAATCAATAAATATACTGAACATTCAGATACACACGACTCACTTTAAGAAGTTTACAAACAGCGGTGTTTGACACTATAGCTACTGCCTTACTGACATCAACAATCATTCGCACTGAGGGCAAGGTCGTCTGAAGAGATGCAGCCGATGGCGCTCGTATGCATACGGGAACAACGCCTTAAAAACATACAAATTTGGCACTTTGCCAGGAATCTCCCCTATTTTCTAGCAAAGAGAAAAATGCTCAGACTAGTTGCTCACCAGCAACAAGGCAACCATAAAATGCAGCTATAAAGTCGATGCCCGGGTGGAAAATCAACGCCACATGGTCGCCAACGTTCAGACGACCTCGTTCCACCAAGAACGCACCAATTCTTTCAGCTCTCCTAAATAAAATTTGCCACTCTGCACGTTGAAGCTACAGTTGGCAAGAATGCAACAAATTGCACAGCAGGTGTTTTCAGCAAAAAAACAAAATGCGAGAAAACGCACTTTAGAAGACTCGCACATGTTGCAGTATCATGTTCGGGATTTTTTGCCGTGACAAGCGTAAACAACCGATGATCCGGTGAGGATGAAGCTCTTGAGCGAAGAATTTCAAGGAGGTTCTAAAGATGAAAATTATAAATGACAGCTGCACGACAAAGAAAAACTAGCCACTTGGTATTCAGGTCATAAGATGACACCT